CTGCGATACTGACTGCATTGGGCAATTTTCCAAAAGGTATAAATGTGGTTTGCTGTTCCCTTTGTTATCTCGTCCTTTATTATCTCGACGGACGACCACGTCTCAATAAAGTTTTGCTGAGCAGTGTGCCTTTTATATTACACGAAATTTATGACTTTCATACTTGTTGTAGTCAAGTGGCAATTGGTTTACGAGACGTACATACAGGGTTGCTACTTAACATGGAATATTTTAATCATTGTTATTTTTGAGTGCTGATTAAATTTTTTTTGGCTTGAGTCATTAAAAGAGTATGTCACTGAGTGATAATAACATCCAGTCTTCTGTTGTGAGATATTTTGGTCAATAATATTAAATCTGACATAAGATGCCATTCAAAAGAAAGGAACACCCCCAGAAAACCGGTATATCAACAGTTTGATGTCAGTATAAACTTTAAGATAAGATATTAAAGAAAATGATAGCCTCCGGACAGTGATATGTTACACAGTCAAAGAACTCACTACAGTAAATCATGAAAAGTCAGTAATTGCGGGTATGACCTCCAGCAGCCGCTTGCAGCGCCCTCATCCTACATGGCATACCCTGTGACACGTTTTTTAGAGTTTGGATGGGGATATCATTCCACGCAGTGATATTTTCCCTGTCGCAGTTCATCACTATTTACCGGCCGAGGACCATAGCTATTAATTCTGTGAGTTACTTCCGCCCACAAATTTTCAATTGGGTTAATATCTGGAGAGTTTGCAGGCCAGGGCAGTTGCCGAACCCATTGGTTTTGAAGAAAAACAGTGATTCTGCGGCCTCGATGTGGGGTTGCGCAGTCGTCTTGGTTGTTCCTGAAGTTGTTCCTGAAGACGACTCTTACCAATCGAAGCATTGTTTGCTGTAGAATGTTTCTGTAGGAATCCTGGCTGAGGTTGCCTCCTAGAACCAACTGGTTCTGGGCACCGACATGAAATGCTCCCCAAACAGAGACCTTACCATACCCTGCTTGCACCCTAGGCAGTACACAATCATCGTTTTATGCCCCTCGTACACGTCAACGATCAACCCTAAAAAATCCATATCTGGCCTCATCACTGAAAACGACGTGATTCCAGTGTTTTGGCTGCAAACGCACGTGGTCCCCAGTCCATTGCAGTCGTCGCTGTTTATGACCTGCTGTTAACAGTGGTTTCCCTACTGGCCTTTGTGCAAAATAACCGGCTTGCAATAATCTCTTGTTCACGAGGGACCTTGAAACGGGCGTTTGAATGACATTCTGCCTCTCTTTTCTGAGGACACTGGTTGTCTTTGTACGACCAGCACGGCGTCCTCTAAGGAGAAGGCGATCCTGTCTTCTTGGTGTGATATGCGGACACCCTGGTCGAGGTATTGGAGTAGGTGCCCCTGTTGTAGCAATTCTTTGGAGGACTTCACAAACGGTTCCTGATAAATGTTGAATTACCTGGCAATGGTTGTCCGTTTCTGGCCATTTTCTCTGAGAGCAAGAATCCCATAGTAAGCTGCGTTGCTTAGCTGTCGAACCATATCTTCACTAATGTACCTGTCAAGTTTCAGAGCGATCCCTTTGTTGCTTCTCTAAACACACTCCAAAGATTGACCAAACCCA